CTCTCCTCCACACGATGGTCTTTGTTGTCTGTGTAACCTTGTATTAAATCCCTCCTCTACACGATGGTCTTTGTTGTCTGTGTAACCTTGTATTCAATCCCTCCTCCACACGATGGTCTTTGTTGTCTGTGTAACTATGTATTCAATCTCTCCTCCACACGATGGTCTTTGTTGTCTGTGTAACCATGTATTCAATTTCTCCTCAACACGATGGTCTTTGTCGTCTATGTAACCATGTTTATTCAATCTCTCCTCCACACGATGGTCTCTGTCGTCTGTATAACTATGTTTTCAATCTCTCCTCCACACGATGGTCTTTGTGGTCTGTGTAACCATGTATCTTGTATTAAATCCCTCCTCTACACGATGGTCTTTGTTGTCTGTGTAACCTTGTATTAAATCTCTCCTCTACACGATGGTCTTTGTTGTCTGTGTAACCTTGTATTCAACCCCTCCTCCACACGATGGTCTTTGTTGTCTGTGTAACCATGTATTCAATTTCTCCTCCACACGATGGTCCTTGTTGTCTGTGTAATCATGTATTCCATCTCTCCTCCACACGATGGCCTTTGTCGTCTGTGTAACTATGTTTATTCAATCTATCCTCCATACGATGGTCTTTGTCGTCTGTGTCACCTTGTTTATTTAATCTCTCCTCCACACGATGGTCTTTGTTGTCTGTGTAACTATGTATTCAATCTCTCCTCCACACGATGGTCTTTGTCTTCTGTATAACCATGTTTATTCATTCTCTCCTCCACACGATGGTCTCTGTCGTCTGTATAACTATGTTTTCAATCTCTCCTCCACACGATGGTCTTTGTGGTCTGTGTAACCATGTATTCCATCTCTCCTCCACACGATGGTCTTTGTTGTCTGTGTAACTATGTATTCAATCTCTCCTCCACACGATGGTCTTTGTGGTCTGTGTAACCATGTTTATTCAATCTCTCCTGCACACGATGGTCTCTGTCGTCTGTGTAACCATGTTTATTCAATCTCTCCTGCACACGATGGTCTCTGTCGTCTGTGTAACCATGTTTATTCAATCTCTCCTGCACACGATGGTCTCTGTCGTCTGTGTAACCATGTTTATTCAATCTCTCCTCCACACGATGGTCTTTGTCGTCTGTGTAACTATGTTTATTCAATCTCTCCTCCATACGATGGTCTTTGTCGTCTGTGTAACCATGTTTATTTAATCTCTCCTCCACACGATGGTCTTTGTCGTCTGTGTAACCATGTATTCAATCTCTCCTCCATACGATGGTATTTGTCGTCTGTGTAACCATGTTTATTCAATCTCTCCTCCACACGATGGTCTTTGTGGTCTGTGTAATCATGTATTCCATCTCTCCTCCACACGATGGTCTTTGTCGTCTGTGTAACCATGTATTCAATATCTCCTCCACACGATGGTATTTGTCGTCTGTGTAACCATGTATTCAATCTCTCCTCTACACGATTGTCTTTTTGGTCTGTGTAACCAAGCATTCAATCTCTCCTCCACACGATGGTCTTTGTCGTCTATTTAACCATGTTTATTCAATCTCTCCTCCACACGATGGTCTTTGTGGTCTGTGTAACCATGTTTATTCAATCTCTCCTCCACACGATGGTCTTTGTCGACTGTGTAACCATGTTTATTCAACCTTTTCTCCACACGATGGTCTTTGTCGTCTGTGTAACCATGTTTATGGAATCTCTCCTCCACACGATGGTCTTTGTCGTCGGTGTAACAATGTTTATTTAATCTCTCCTCCACTCGATGGTCTTTGTGGTCTGTGTAACCATGTATTCAATCTCTCCTCTACACGATGGTCTTGGTCGTTTGTGTAACCTTGTATTCAATTTCTCCTCCACACGATGGTCATTGTCGTCTGTGTAACCATGTATTCAATCTCTCCTCCACACGATGATCTTTGTCGTCTGTGTAACCATGTTTATTCAATCTCCCCTCCAGACGATGGTCTTTGTCGTCTGTGTAACCATGTTTATGGAATCTCTCCTCCACACGATGGTCTTTGTCGTCTGTGCTACACTGTATTTATTTTCTCTACACTATAAATTATGTTTATGTAACCTTTTATTTCCTTCCTCAGCACCATTTCCCTCTTATGACAATACCACCTGTCGTCATTGATCGTCGGACTAATTAATATGTACTCCAATAAATGTAACATTCTTTTGATCATTGCCCTTTCAATTGTTTCTTCTGATACACACACACGAAAAATGTACCACTATGGCTGCTACAAAACACGTTTTTATTATGTTAAATTCATACAATGGAGGATGTCCAACTTTGAAACAGCCAGTAATAGGCACTACATATAGAGGCATTGAATGTCAGACAGCTTGCATATGTTTTCTGGTTTAAACCCTGTAAATACTAAAATAATAGATCGATGCTGTGTTAGACACCCACACCTTTCTAATGACTATGCTTGCTAACACAAAATCCAAAAAAAGCACAAACATGATTTTTTCCTGTTATTGACTAAACACATAAACTGAACAGTACACTAATAAATGGGCACGCATGCCCAACCTGGTATGTTTTAGTGTTACAACGAAGTCACGTGTGTCATGGATGCGGGATGCCGAGGAAGGTACAGTGAGTTTCATTGCGCTCGCTAGGGTGAGTTGGTATACCGACAGATCATACACCCATCCACTTGTCGGAATTTCTCCAGGCGGTACTTATAACCGTGAGTATGCGATGTGCACTTTTTCTTCGCAGTTTGCTGTACACGTAATTCTAAAGGAAGAACTTTTTTGCAAAGATAGTTGTAAACATCAATACTGTAGATATAATGCACTAGGTATACACACCTATTTCAGAAGTGTAGAAATGACGACAGAAAGGCAGCTATAGGGGAAGTAGCATACGTAGTAGTGTTAGTATTGTAATAATACATGGCTATCTTCGCGGAAGGCAGTTGTACTAGGATCGTCTTTTTAAAGGACTATGGTACCATAGCCGCCATTTAACCGCACTATATGGGATTTGTTTGGGTGGAAGTGTTTTTCATACCATCATAAATTTCAAAGAAGATGCAATGCATTCTTCAAATATCATTAAGCTGAATGTTTAAACCATCGTAAAGCATCCAGTTTTCTTAACGAATGTCTCTTTGAGATAAAAATGCAATATACGTATTCTATTCTATGAGTGGTGTTATCACATTTTCCAAAAAAGTAGTCCACCTGTTGAGAGTAATTGATAAGAAGTGTTAGTTATGTATGTCATACTGACCTGGGTTTGTTCCAAACTGCACTGCGTAGTAACGGTTAATGGCCGACACTATAGCCATGCATCGTAGCCTGTTCACATCATATTATCGACCTTCGTTGGTGACAGAATCAGTGATACAATCAAATGTAAATGTAAAGATTTTGCATGAAATGTATTTCGATAAGTAAAGGGAACAACTTAAAAATAATATAAACATGATCAGAAGTATGTATCAGAGGTGACGTAGAGAACAGGAAGTAGAGTATTACAACAAGTGTCTAGCGCGCAGAAAAAAATCAAGTATGATGTAATACGAAATAAGCCAAAACATAAAAACTATACTTAACTAGTAGTTTATAGTGAAAAAAGCCAAAATTACTAATAAATAAATAAAATAAAATAAATAACTATAATTAAATAAGAAAAACAAAATAAGAAAATACCTGGAAAACGAATATATATGTATAAAGATTCATAATTAAGAAAAAAAGTAAATGAAATAAAATAATACGTGCCAGATACTAGCGCGCATTATGTTGTTTGCTTGCAAAGCTGTGTCATTCAAATAGATCATAAATACCATACAAAAACAGTTCAATGCTTAAATATTGTCTGCTATAAAGCTATATGTTTAATTGTTAATGGCTAAATAAGAGTTTTATGGAATGTCACCAGGTGAAAGTAAGTCTAATATGATAGATAAAGACTTTCCAGTTTGCGATTTGGTTGTAATATGATTTGATGTCAACTCATCTGGTTTTTCCCCATCCTACTCTCAAATATTGTTGTACAAAGTTTGATTATTTATAAAATCTCTGTTCACTTATGCTCGCAGTGGCGGACCCAGTTGCCCGAAACACCCTTTTTTCTGTGTCCAAAAATAATCTGGACTTAGGTTTTTGAAGATTTTCCTCTTTTTCATATGGGATTTTCTACTAATATCAACCATCCTGTGAACTATGATTTTCTATGGCAAGCAGCAGTTTGAATACCTATATATGCCTAATGGTGCAGTTGTCCAAACAAGGAGTCCACTACTTATACTCTAAACAATAGGGGATTAATCCTCTTTTGTTTATATATTAGTCTATTTGTCTATCTAATCGTATTGTTCTAACGTCCGAATCCGGTTAAAACGGCCGCACTGCAGTAACGGCCCTAGTGAAAACGACCCCACTCTATATATAGTACAGTATGTACAGTACTGCAAGTACTACAAGTGCGTAATACAGGTACATACCTTGATATTATGTTGATAAAGTTACATGCACTTTCAAGAAATAAAGATATGTACATGTACAGATAAAATTGTGTTTGTGTTTTCATTGATAGTTGACACTCATCAGTCTCAAATATCTTTGCAATAGTGTTTTCTACTTCAGTGTTTAATTTAATTTAATTATTTAGAGAAAAGAATTAATTAAAAAACTTATTGAATAGCATTTGGAAAAAAATCAGTTACAATATTAACTAATAATAATTTAGATATGGGTAGAGGGTCTTTCTTGTTTTAACAGAGTACCTCGGAGTGACTCAATCAAAACAACAATTAACGGGATTGGTCAGAGGGTGTAATAAATTGGACGAATGTATAGCAAAATTTTCACATATTATATTAATTTGAATAAGACTTTCAACCATGAGACCAGCATTGACGAAATGTTTAGCTCGCGACAGTGTTATCCGACCTGCACAGCATGCACTGCAGTGCGATGGCTGTAGTAGATGGCAGCATAGAACGTGTGATACCAGTAAGTGATATGAAATATATATAAATGTCAATCACAGAAATACCTAATTGATACATTCCGTGCATGGAAAATAGGATGATTTTATATAAAAGATAAGAAGACATACTCTTACTGTTGTATAATTGTTGTTGTTTAATTTAGTAATTGTCAAATTAATCATTACGTTATAATTGTCTATTTATTGAAATATACATCAATGTTCATATATATATACGTCCCGTTATACTTATCTTATAATTATTATGTTCATATATTTATACGTCGCGTTATACTTGTCTATTCATTGAAATATACATCAATGTTCATATATATACACGTCCCGTTATAATTGTCTATTCATTGCAATATACATGTTAAAAAGTACATATTTTTCAACTTGGCTTTACGTTAAGTAATTCTTCACGAATACTTTTTTTTATCTCTTAACAGACTGAATCCTTCTTTTGATGTCAGGAACATCAGTGGGGATGGACGACGACACACTAGATGGGTCCGGTAGTAACTTCGGCAGACTTAATTTGTGTGGCTCTTACAGAGGGGGCCTCCTTTTGGCAAGAGCTGGACACCAACGATGTATGCATTGGTGGCTGACACCCTCGATTTAAATTCACTAAACAGAAATAACAATTATCTTATTGGAAATAAATTGAATGCTAGCTTAATTTAAAATCCAAAATTGTATATCACGATTTAAAAAGTAGGGCCGTTTCAACTAGATTACTAATGATCCGTTGAGAGAGGATAAAACCATATGTTGGAATTAAGTATATATGTAAATTGTTACTTCAAAGGTACAGTCAATATCATTATAGATAAACCTGTATTTACACCTGTGGTTCACATGATCACCACGATAGATTTATTATACCTGTTATTTATTTTTTTAATAATAACCAATGATAGCATAAAAGTCTGGCATGTATATATATATCCTTTTTAACAGGTGTTGCACTTATACATATGCATGCATACAAATTCACAATAAAAGACAGTCAAATCATAATTCATATTTATGACAAAATAAATTAATATCTTATTGCCAAAATGCTCGCCTAAACTACATGCACATGAAAAGCATGACACAAACATCAACATTTTAACCAAAAACCTACATTTTTACCATTGTTTCAGAGAATTTGTTAACACTCGCTCCGCTCGGCATTGAGACATTTCATTGGTGTGGTAGACTATCTATGAAAGGGCTCAATGTGTAAGGTGGCGTTTTTTGTCCCCTCACCTACTATAGTCATTAGGAGAATGGCATTGCATTTGATTATGAAATGCAGTCTATGGTACAGCTTCTCAGGAGAGTGTTCAATACATGTATTGTAACTTGTATTTTTATGTTATGTCGTTTTAATAAAAATGGCCATTTTCAATCATTAAGTCTTTCTGGTTTTTTATTGACTATTGTACTATTACATAGCTTGCTGCTTGGCTGATAGGTGCGAACCATTCAACATAAAACAACAATTAAATACAGAAAGTATTTTATCGCATTTATGTTGGTGGTAAAAGTTTATTTTGGGATTCTTTCTTTTGGCCCTAGAATATATTTGCCTAGTGAGCAAGGTGAACAGGACGCACATGCGTATGAATATATGATCACGTGATCTAGGTAAGCGTCACTTGGAAAATGTCTTCACGGGCGAAAAGGTAGGGCGCTATTTTAAACATTGATTTCTTCCCGCCACCGTCCCCTTAATTCTCTACTTTATATGATGTCATAATACTCATGGTATGTTTAACATTTATTCAAGGTTTGGGCGTTTTCTTGTCCCCTCACCTACTATAGTCATTAGGAGAATGGCATTGAATTTGATTATGAAATGCAGTCTATGGTACACCTTCTCAGTAGGGTGTTCAATACATGTATTGTAACATGTATTTTTATATTATGTCGTTTTAATAAAAACGACAATTTTCAATCATTAAGTGTTTTTTTTTTTACTATTGTACTATTACATAGCTTGCTGCTTGACTGAAAGGTGCGAACCATTCAACATAAATATAAATACTCTATGTTATAAAATATAACCTGGAATAATACCGCAAACTCAGAAAACTATTCTATGCCTTATTCGATCTGTTTGACAATGGAAATAATATCCGATAAATTCTAGCTTTCTACAAGTTTAGTTTTACATCTTCAGGGAAAAAAAATCCCTCGCTCGGCAGGGACATTATAATTGTCACAATCTCGAAATAATGAAGTTCTATATATTGTTTGGTGCCAGAAAGTAGTATACATGTACAACCGACATGACAATTGTAATTTGTTAGGTTTTTTGAGTCTTTTTCTGAGTTTAAAGTTTGGGGACCCAGATTTAATTCCTGGGTCCCCCCTGGCTCGTGCTCTTGTTCTGATGTGTTATTATATCTATAGCGGAGGGGACATTAGGAAACCTTTCTCTGAACCGTTTGTATAATCTTATCGGATATATTTAAAAACTAAACTTAACAGATAACATCATGACACATCGGGGGAAAATAAAGATCAAAGCTACAAATACTGATGAAACATCTCCACATAAGGAAAGACAATATGACCACATGAGGGACTGAAGTTGAAATAAATACACTGTAAGACAAACATGTCCTATACCACATATAGCCTTAGTATCATTTTAGGATGAAGACAATAACGAATCTTCAATACAGTGATGGAAGCCTCTCCAATAGAAAATCTTAACACCCATGATAATATCTCATTATTCACCTCTGTATCTAGCATTCACAAACAGCCAAGTAATAACCTTAGTTTCATCCTCCCATGAAGTATTCCGTCTGCAGATACCATCTCATTTGGCTCTCTTTTTTATATCTCAAGCACACGGCAGTTTAGAAGCTTAAGGGATGTGTAAGTGGTGCAGAAAACGTAAATGTGAGCCTTATTATCATTATGTAGATATAAAGTGCAGCGTTATGTTATAACCGTTCTGCCATGTCGAATATTCGTACAGACTGGGGATGTATACAGGAATGTATGGAGCCCGCGAAGTGACTTGTATTAAAATAGCAAAAATAAAACGGTTATTGTTGGTAACATGATAATAGTTCACGTCCACTAGATTGTCTATCATGTACGTCGTAGATATATGTCTATCTCCCAACACATTTGATCTACATTGTCTGAACTATATCTCTCATCACGATGGTTTGCCTCAGCTGCATTAACGATTTATTTTCATATTCGTCTCGTCTATGTTACCTTGTATTCCATCTCTCAGCAAGAAATTATGTCTCGTCTATATAACCTTGTATTTTATCTCTCAACACGTAGTTCTGTAACGTCTATGCTACCTTGTATTCTATCTCTCAAGACGTA